ACCTTTCAATTGACATCCCTTCACAACTCCAATCTATAAAATGCATCAAGCAGCATGTAATTAAAGGTAAAACGACCGTGGGTAAAGATTCAATTGTTTCAATTCATCAGTCAAATGAAACAATTCTGGATTGTCATAACGAACTGTTCATCTGTGTGAAGGGGAAATTCTTCCATCCATTCGTGGCTCAATTGTGTCCCAACATACGAATCAACTTGGGAAAACTCAAATTCAGGATCAAACAACATTGGGTAATCGTTCAATTGCAGAAATTACAGCCCTTGTTTGCCAAATTTTGGAGTCAAATGTCATTCCTCACACACCACAAAGAGAAGAGAGAAAAAGTTCGAGCTAAATTTTGGAGTGAAAATAAAGGGGTGAAATTCCAATGGTTTTGGCGGCGGCAGAGGAGGAGAAGAGAGAAAGAGTTTTTTTGTTATTTTAATATTTTCATAAATTTTGGACTCATTTGCATTATGAAAAAGTTTAGGAGTAAGATTGTAATTTATTCTTTATTTTTCTTTTCTTTTATTTTTTTGTTTTATTTATATAGGAGGGTATATTTGTCATTTTAGGTTAAAAATAGTTGAAAAAGACGTTTTCCGCAATGAAACATGGAAATATGGGTGAACATGTAAAAAATTGAAATGTATTGACGTTTTGCACACTATATGCTAAACGTAGGGACGTTTTGTGCGAATAAGCCTCATACAAATGAAAAATGACTTTAAAAAGTGACAAGTCGCATGGTGGGCCAGTGTTTACTCTTTCCTTTTCGTAGCTTGAGATAAATTATATAAATAAAATAATAAATAAATCGGTGTAGCTTCACCAGTTGAATAATTCCTGGTGTAGCGGGCCCCACCCAATGTATTTTTTTAAAAAATAAAATGTACCCCCCGTCTAACCTGGCACTGGCAGGGGCTGCTGTAATGCAAGCAGGGTTCTCACGAGTTACGTAGTGTTTGAATAATGAATTAATTACATTAATTAATGTCCACTGGCATCATAAGTCGAATTTCTATAGGTTAACGAAATGTCGAGCAAGATTGAACATCCATGGCACCTAAATTTGAAATTTCAATATGAATGAACCACTTACAGAAATAGAGCATGTCAAAAAACACAAGTCTTCAATGATGAATCTACCTAATTTAAGTGAATTCCCATCAAAACTCGACATTTACACTCTAAGTTTAGACATTTATGCAACATTAATATCGAAATTTCGACATGAATTTAGAAATTTCTAATGTAGCTTTAAGATATCAAAATTTTTATGGTTACAACATGCGTATGCCTTATAATTTGAAACATGCTTATGTCTTGCAGTGTTTCGAGGTGAACCTCGAATGCTCGTATAAGAATTTTGGTTTATTGTCCAACATGATGATGTCGATGTTGAGTTTTTTAGACCGCTTCATCGTCCCATAAAGCCCGATTGCAGATTTTTCCTTCTTAAGCGACATTTTAAAAAGTAACCAATTGCTACAAGTAAAATGGTATTAAATAACACTTATTAAATTAATTTAAATTGACGACTATTATTTATGAGTTTAGGTAAAATGTCCTAATCTTGGGGTCGGGACATTATGTAACGCCACCCCTTTTTTCCTATGTTATCTTAAACATGCATTATAAATTACGTTGCCTCAAATTAATATTTTTTTATAAAATATATTCACCTCATCCCCCGATTTGAATGAACAAATGGCCTTCTTGAGAAGGATAATAAGCCACGTGGTTATGCTGACGATAAATATTAAATATTTGCTAGTCAAAAATCAAATGCATTTTTATAAGAGTAATGTTATGTAGTCACACTTGGATTACAACCTCAGTCTAGATGTCGTTAATGTGACATTAAATGATATGTGAAATTAAATAAGTCATTTTAATTTCACATTTCATTGAGAGACATCTAGACTATGGTTGTAACTCCAGTGGGTGGGACTACATAGCATTACTCTTTTTATAATTCTGTTGTCAAACACCCGTTCTTATGTTTGCAACACTTTCTACATCAACAATTAAGCTTTTGTTTGGTGTGCATTTTTTGGAGATTTTTTTATCAGGTTTCGATAGAATTGGTGCCGACATTTGAAATTTAAAAATGACGGCCTACAAAATGAACGTTTAAGTACCAATAGGTTAAGCCTCTGTTTGGTGTTGGATTAAAATAAGATTTTTAGTAGATTTTGATCAAATGTGCGGTTGAAAAGTCGTGTGATCTATGAAATGTGTGGTTAAAATTAATTGTTGATTTGACTTAAATTAAAAATTTTAATTTACCACGCAAGGGCTAAACATACATTTCATCCAATTTGTCGATTTTACCCTCTACAAACCTAGCCAAATTCACGTCTTCCACTTGATTGAGAGGGCAAAATCGCGACAAATTTGATTTAAATCTTGCTTTGTCCGCGATCAAATGAGGATCGTAACACTGCATTAATAATATTTAAAAAGACCCACACTGCGAAAATCGATTTTTTTAAGAATAGCGCTACCAGACTGGCTAAATAGTCAATCGCTCTTCTTGAAAAAATTGTACTCCGCAATAACTTGCCAATTGGACCTTCAGTGAAATGAAGAATT